GTTCAAAATTTCTCTTAGTGTTTGACAGCCAACAAAAGCACGAAGTAATTGTCTTGAACCCTTTTACCGGCTGCCGTTTTATTTGTAATGTTAACAACACCTTGTATAAACAAATTGCCACTAGAAATCTGCCCCAACGGAATGTTTTGCACCTTGGACCCTAGCGCTTTCGTAGTAACAATTCATTTAACCGCAAGCTCAATATACCTACCGCTTTTGGCATTTCCACATAGTTAAAAGAATTAGAAGCATCATACCAGGATGCATCTACTGGCTCATTAAAATGCAATTTCTGCTTTGGCAACTAAGGAAGAAGTGGTAACTCATGTAATTGTTTAGGTATTTGAAGAGTGCAGCGTATTTTTGGATTATCTATACTTTAAAACGTGTCCTCGGACATATGCGTCACGCTTCCATGTCACTGGGGACCGCAACAAAGACCAATCAAAAGAAGAACAAATTAGCCGCCATTTTAAATAGCTCACTTTCGGTCGAAATAGGGGAGAAAAGACTTGTTGCCAAAAAGTAATATGAAATACTCCTAAAATTTCGATTTTTCGAAATATTAACTAGACTATAATCCGAACCCGAACAGACGAGCGATACTGATTTCCGGAACTAATTATGAGGGCGCTGCGTATGTAATGCTCACTGGCGAATAACAAAAAACGTGTGCTAATTCCACAAACTACTTATGAACTTCCACCCAATATAGTTTATTGTACATTTTTTTACCCTATAAGTAATGCCTATAAACTGTTCGAACCGAATTGGTGTAAGTAACACAATTTGCATTTCTTTTTGTTCATTTTGGAAACTTCATAGTCATTGTAATTGTTCTTAAGTTGGATTAGTACTATATTTATGCTTAGTAGAATTTACAGAGAGTTTTTGACAAAGGTTCTTGAAGTGTGTCCCCGAATTGAATAAATTCAACGTAAAAAATCTGAGGGTAAAATCGACTATATCACACATCGACCGTGTGGACAAACCCAGTGGCGTAACTAGGTAAGTGCCGAAGGTGTGAGGAGCTCTAGGACACCACGTCCGGGTAAGCAGTACGGGGTATAGACCAGTAACTAAAGAAAAAACGGCAGTTAAATGCGAATAGTTTGCTAAAGTCGACTACAGAGTGCAAAACAAATTTGGGAGCCATTAAGACGAATCTCATAAACAGACGATATATATTTGACGCACTTTCGATGCTATACATTTTCGTAATTTGTATAAACAAAAAAAAATGCTTGAGCTTGATCTATTATAGTTTCAGAAAATAATAAATGAACGAAATGGATATTTAACTGATAAAGAAAGCGTTCAGTAGGTAGTCAAGCATACCCGTTGACAAAGGTGCAACTTAACCGAGCAACTTTGTTAGTAAAAAAGGCGGGGAATGTGAAATGTAGTCTTAGGAATAAGGTAATATCTTTTCATTTATATTGAATAATTGAATTGAATACGTAATTTAATATCGCTTGTGTTTATGTCACAAAACTTATTGGCCTAATTAATGGGAGCGCAAAAGCCGCCGTTGGGAGCGTGGTTCGAAGACCAACTTAATTACATTTAACGTTGTCGAAATGATTAATTAAAATTTAGCCTTTATAAAATGCCATTTGACTATTGTGGAACGTTCGTATGCTTTCTAATTACCGAGGGAGATTGTTTCTTCCATGACGCATTTATTGTTAAATGTTTGTGTGGATTGCAAACGAAAAAGAGTTTATTTCCAAAAATATTGATTAAGGAGTAAACCTAATTAACAGTTACAATGAGATAGGAGGTCAGAGTCTGGGAGGAGGTAAGTGGTATGGTATAATAAACAAACGTAATTATCGCTGTACAGTACAGTAATTACCTACAGTGCTGATTTAAGCAAAGCTTAATGGTAACTGATGTGGCGCCAAAACCGGGAAAATCTCCGTGGTATAGAAAATTAAAGATCTCAAAAAACAAAAAATGCTAAATTTTTCAAGACCATTTAAAGGCTCGACAGTCATAATTCTCAAAATTACTTCAACATTCTCAAAAATCCCAACACTCATCCTACCCAGAAACGTCACGACTCCCAAAATCTTCAACACTCGCAAGAGACACAAAAGTCTTATCAATCTAAAAGAACAGGTAAATTGAGTTAAAATTGAATTATTAGAAACCTGTGATTAGTGAACTGTGTACCTAATTATCATTTTCCATTCTTGATTAATTTTGAAATTGCATTTTACTTTTTCTTCCAAATAAAGGGAAGTAGGTAGTAGAAAACCAAGATAGCGGTTAGTGTACAATGGAGCCTGTCGCTTTAATATTTAATAATAATTGTGTGAAAGCAGTTTCGTTTCATTGCATTAGAGCGCCTAGTTACAATAAAAATGCAGCCTGGGTCATTAGTCGGAAGTAGGTACGCTTATTCAGTGTTTAATCACTAAGATGAGGTCTTCATTGTTGCGTGTTAGGTCGGCGGCTTAGTTATCGTATTTATTGTATTGTATTGTATTGTGTCTTTATAAACTTTACCAAGTCTGTATCCACCACTTTCATTAATTAGTTAATGTTATACTTGGTAATTTTTTTCACTTAGTATACTGCGTCACTGAAGATGAGTATTGTTCATCATATTGACAGCGGTCTGTAACAGAATTAACATGCAACTACCCTACCTGTCAGGAATAGCAAGCTAATATGATTTATCACTCCTCCTCATTCTGGCACTAAGTATATAGTACCTACATTACTTTAATTTCAGCGCCCGCAGTATTTGCAGTAGCATTCTCAGTCGTAAAACGTTTCCTAAACGATTACACACTATCGAAAATTTCAATATACAAATCCGACCCAAAGAAATGGCAGAAAGTGTTGAGAGAGCAAATAAATCCCGAGATATTGCCAAAATATTACGGCGGCGATTTACTTGATCCGGATGGAGATGAGAAATGTTCATCACAGGTACAAACGCAATTTGTGTGTATTATTTACAATTATTTTGTGCAGATACGGCAAGGCGGCAAGGTACCCGAATCCTATTATACGAATAATTTTGATCCAAGCGACGATTCAACGGATTTTATTTCTACAGTTGTTAAAAAAGGTCGAAAGTTTACCTTAGACTTTATTGTGGTGGATCCTGGCTGTGCTCTGAAGTATTACTATAACTGGATATTGAATCTTTACTTACTCACTCACATTTCAGGTGGGATTTCAGAACCGAAGCGCATGATATCAGATTTGGGATTACATACTGTGATAATGATGGAAATGAAAGTCCCGCCGTACGATTTCAAAGGGTAGCTTCTCATCAAGTGAACGAAGTTGGTGTGATTGCGTGCCAGGCACCGGCGACCTGTATGCATAATTGATTTTTTAACATTGAATATTTATGTTTTATGTTACAGATCGAGTAGTGTTTGATAACACATACAGCTTAATGCGCAACAAGAAACTGTTTTACAACATTACGGTTACGGATCCACTCGCTAACTTAAACATCACCACCTTACCTGAAGAAAATGTTCCAGACAAAATTTGCAACGGTAATAACAATGTAGATAAAACGTCAATAGTCAATTAATGTTATTAATTATACCTTTATGTAGTTTTGATATGTGGGAAATGGTGGGAGTATGTTAATGATAGGCCAGATGCAATATTAAATGTACTTTTAAAAGTTTTTTATATGATGATAAGTAGTAAAGTTGTCTGTTTTTTTGTTTGTGTTTTCCATTCAATCTATAGTCGAAATCGTCGCAAAATGTGCAGGACGCAATTGAAGAATTGAACAGAAAGTTTGATGTGTGCACGAAGGATGAAAAGCAAGCGCGCATTGCAGACCGCAGGGCGCCCACCCAAACCGTGCAATCAGTGGTACCTATTGCGGAAAAACAAATTATTCATAAACAGTTGAAGATAGCCATATGCCGTCGCGGAGTTTTTTTTAGTCCTCTACATTTGATTAGCGAAGTTATTTTTATGATATTATAATAATTAATAAGTGTCAGTTTCATATTGTACCAAAGTGTGCTGGGAATAAGAAAAGCAGCATTCGCTCTATAACAGCGGGTACATATTGTGATTTATATGCTCTGAACTGAAGTTGGGTAATTTTATAAGCAGCGTGGTCCTATAGTTAAGGGCTAAGTGCATTATAAAAGTGAGTGAAAGATGCGAGGTTTAGTGACATTTTCGGCGATAAATAGAAAAGCTGTAATAAATTTAATTCAAAAGACGCAATTCAGCTTCATTATATCGAAATTATAAAATTTTTCATTTCGTAAATGGACATTTGAATCCAGCGCTTTGTTTTCACACGCCAGCGATATATTATTAACCAGCTTGCATCTTTTTTACGGGACAGATTTAATTTATCTTTTTAGAGGAATTTGACCAGGAAGATATCCAGCAAAATTGAGGAAAGCAGTATAGAAGGCGCAGTTTTCAAAAGTACTCTGTGAAGTCTACCAGAAGAGGTGAGAGGAGTGCATTAAATCGACTTAGAACTGCGAAGTGGCCATACAGCAAACCAGTGGAAATTCGAACCGAAGCGAGAACAGGTCCATCCATCTTAAACTATTTTTTCTTGAGCTAGCTGGACGTAAAAACTAAAAAGGTAAATGTAAATGTAAATTCCAAAAGTACTTCTGCAACGAACCTTAGAAAATCTTCAACCCTTATGAATAAGCGGCCACTTTACGGAGATTATTTTGATTTCGCAGATGGTTTTCTTTCACTTTGTGTTTCGAAATTCGATTTTTGTTATTGTTGCTGATATTTTTGAACTAAGGCCATACAAGTGGTAAGGGTAGTTTTATTTCTTGTTGAGTGCGTGTCTGTTGTCGAGTTCGCGAGGAGGCCCTCTCTGGTTACTACTTATACCCCCACCTACCCTGCGTATACCCTTACCCTTACCATAATTTACCAATACACCATCTGCATATAATCCTTCCAGTGGAAGATTTTCAAATTTCAAAAGTAACAGCGCTATCAGGTCCACTTAGAATTGAAAATCCTTTAATTATACCTAATCTAATAATTAAATATCTAACAGTACATTATAGTTGGATAATTTTACATTATCAGGATGAAATAGTACATAAGTAAACATGTGAATGGTCACAACAACAAAAATCTTAAAACATAGCAAATATGGGATCCAATTGCTCATTGATTGAACGACAAACATCATTAATGCAAACTAATCCTTCATCACATTCGTGTAACTTGGGAAATCCACGCAAAGAATCCAAAAGCGAACTACATCTTTGATTTTCCTCTGCAACAAAATAGCTATTACGTAATCGACAAAAAAATGGTAATAGACTTACTCAAGATTGTTACACATTTCTTACAACAATTGCAAAAACTTGCTGGTTTCAGTACTTGATTGGGTCCGCACACTTCGTCATTTATGCAGTTCACGGAGTCGCAAAAGTTCGGCGTGCAGACAATGGAAGTCGCTTCATCACAACAATGAAACAATATTGCCACAAGGATGTATATCTGCACCTTCTTGGTGTCCATCTTTATCTAGAAATAAAAACTGACGTAGTCTACGAAAGAAAAACTGTCATATAGTTACATAAGATTTGTTACTACTTTGATCACTATTTACATTTTGACCCTTTCAGTTACAAATTAACATTGATCGCCAAAGAATTTCTTAGTGCACACCTTTCGAGCCTTTCGAAGTCATCTTATGTACCTATACTATACCTTCTCTATAATAATTTTCCTTGTGACCTCCGAGTACAATTTTAACAATCAGCTTATATGTTTGAATTTGTTGTTTTTTTTGTTGCCCAAATTACAAAACAATTTTGTGGTTTTTAAAACTAGAAGTATGATCATTTGCAACAATTTGGATAAATATGCCCATCTGTCAGATCAACGTTGAAATATTTGCCTACATAATTGCACTTAAAAAACCTAAATTTGCCACAGACACAAAGACGCATTCTCGCAAAAAGAATCAAAAACTACAGCAGCGCCATCTAAACTTAACGCTGATTGATTGTTAATAGCACTTTTTATTTATGATCTGAAACGCGATATTACTGGCGTTTGTTCATAATACCTCACGATTGATAATCTTAGATAAGGGCCGCAGTAATCAAGTGTAATGTAACAAATCAAAAAAGTATTACCTAATGAAATTATCATTGACATAGAGTGGGTAACGTATGCTTTCCACTTTTTTTAACTTACTGAAATAACAAATACATTTTAACTCGCGTTTTAATTATCACGTCCGGTATCAGACGGAAGTTGAATAAAACATATACCTACCTAACGCAATTCTCATTCGCAGAGGGTCTGGGTTTTCTTGTTCTTTGCCAATCCGAATTGTGTTATCCATCTACTGTATTTTGTTTTTAAAGATATCAACATGAATACATAAATAGAGTAATAGACAAAGTGTTGCAGCTTTGTGCGCTGATCAAAATACAGTTTAGAAAAATTTGAAAAATGGTATCCGATAAGAAATTATTTAAAAAAAACGAAAACCACAATTTTTTGCTATGGCTGTATTGCGCAATATTACATCCAACCTCTATTGATTACAGATTTGGTGAGCGCACATCACTGTAAATAAGCTATTTATTTTGAGGATTATGCATATTTGATTTTTGGTAAGGCTTTTTGACGCACCCTGTATATTTTCTCTTTAGTGCAAAAATTCGCAAAAAATTATGATAGATGTATGCGCGCATTTTTTTAAAACCCAACACCTGATTTTTAAATTAAATTGTTCTATATTTTAGCCCCTCACTGTATACCTAGTAATAGACCCAACATAACCATTTGATTAAAT